ACGAGACGACGGCGAGCACGAAGTCGACGATGATGAACGGCGATGATCGGAAGGAACGCGAGTGCTCGGCGCCGCCCATTACGTGTCCCTCCGCTGAATCGACAGGCGCGAAGAGAACGCTGAGTGTGGAGAATCTGTCGTTAGACAAGAATGCCGATGTGAAAAACGTGCCATCGGCCAAGGGACGGGTGACGTCGATGTTGGGGCTGTTCAAGACGAACGCGGACACGAAGCAGAATGGCGGCGGCCGGTCGCAGAACGCGATTATGAGCAGACTGAAAAGAAGTCCGCCCAAGTGTGCCAAGTCGACCGAGTCGGAGGAAGATAGTGCGACGAGCAGAATACCAACCAAGTTCGCCAGACCCGAGAACAAATCGGGGAAGAAGATGCCGGAGAATAAGAAATCGCCAGAGAAGGTGACGAGTGAATGCAAGAGATCGCCGCCCAAAGAAAAACCGAGGGAAAAAGAGTCGATCGTTAAAGAGAAGAGACCTCTGATGGAAAAGCAGCCGAGGGAGCTTAAAAGAACACCGGAAACAATTGTACAATTGGACTCCTCTGTGGATAAAACAAAGTTACAGAAAGCAGAGTCGTCGAAAAAATTATTGGACGAATCAGATTCTCAGAGAATCGTAGATAATAAACACGCGGAGTCCATTATTAATGGCGAAGACAAGAAACTGATGAAGACCAAGAAGAATATTAGTTCTCTGGTCAAGAACGGATCTATCGCAAAAATTGACAAAGGCGAGGATATCGATAAAAAGATCAAGAAACCGGTGAAGTCGAAAGAGAGCGTGGAAAAAGACGATATCAACGGCACTAAGAAGAAGAGAATAGTGCGCGTTGTGAAGAAGGTCGTGAAGAAATCGTCCGATAGTTCGGAGAGCAAGTCTGACGAGAAGGAGAAATCGTCAAAGCTATTAGCGAAGAAGAAATCCGCAACGAAGAAGGAGAGGAGTCCCGAGGCGCCGAATGTTATGGCACAAGATTTGATCAAAAGAAACAATCTCGACGATCAGACCACTGCGAAATCGTCCTGTTTGAAACAGACGGAATCGAACGTTCAGAAAATGTCATTTGCGAAGTCTGACGATCATACTGGCGAACATCTTACACAAAGTACAGATACGCCGTCCAAAATCGATGTTACGGAAAACCAAGTTAGACCGAACAAGTCTGATGCGAACTTGTCGTGCATCGATCAGACGAGTTTCGTGCTTCAGAATGCTTTGAATTCTAATGTCAATCAGACTAAACAGTCGTCGGAACAACATCGGCCGAGCAGAGCAGGTTTGAAACTCGACCTGTCCAAAATACCGCAGCATACATTCAGACACGCGACTCCAAAAAGGGACTCGCCCAAGTCCGGATCGCCTAAAGCGAATCCCGTTGTTGGATCGCCCAAGACGGACGTTTCTGTAGCGGAGAGTGGCGACAAACTGATAGAGTGTCTATCGAAGATGACGCATCATGCCAATATTACAGGTAACAAGATCATTATCGATAAGCCCTTGCGTGCCAAGGATGTCGCTGAACTGAAGCGAGAAGTCACCGCGTGCGTCAGGATTATGGAGAATCACATGGAGTCGCAAAACGATTGTTCGAGCTCACAAACCGTCGACGATTGTTCGACGTTTGACTCGGTGAGCGAAAAGCCGAGTGAGAGCGCGATAGATCCGCCTAAAGAGATCAACGACACGGACAACGCTAAGGTGGCTAAAGAGTCGCCATCGGAAGAATGCCTGACCAGCGAGATGTTCTCGCCCGAAGAACCGGAGAGCTTCGATTCCTGGTCGATCTGCTCGGCCGATCTGAATCACAATCGCGGCGATTTGCATTCGCCGCTATTGTACTCGCCAACATCGCCGACGTCATACTCTCTATACATGCGCGGCGACAGTTCGGAGTCGGTGATAGACCGAATACGAAGACGCAGTTTCTACTCGAGGTTCAACG